CTGCAGAGAGGGTGATGAGGTAAAGTATGCCTGCTCCCCTGCTTCCTGGTGCCAGGATGGGGGTACTGTGGTGAACACATTTAGGAGTACTAGGGTCCCCCACACCATCCCTGTCCCCTCTAAAACCTTGCTTTGGGCTTCCCTGCCCCAGGCAGATCTGGCCTAGGTTATTGGACCCTGTGCCCAGAATTATGCTGGCGGCAGTGGTGACTGATGCAGGCAGATGGGGCAGCTCACCCTCGGGCACCTGCCCTGCCTGCCACAACCTGACTCATCCAGGACCTTTTACTTCCCAGGCCTGTGGCTTCAGCAACAACCCTGATGGCTGCTCCTGTGTTACAGATGAAGCTCTGGGCTGGGACAGCCTGTCCCTGGTGACAGCTTAACAGCAGCTGGGCTGGGCTGGAAGGGAACAGAAATCAGACCTAAGCTGCCTCCCCCAGGGGTCTGAGGCTTGAGAGGGTGGGGTGGAGGAAGTGTGGTGCTGTGGACGGATGGGACTCTCTGGCTCATCCTTGCCCCAAAGCCAGGGAGGATGGGCTAGGGAATATAGGACACAGAGTGTACTGTCTGTCCAGGAGTACTGACCTCATGGGAGTTGCACTGAGGGACCTGTTTAGCCTGACTTCTGGTGGAGGGACTTGAGTAGCCCAGTTCCCAGTGGTGTGGAGCAGGCATCAGCCACCAGGGGAGGGGATCCAGCCTTTTCCCAGAGTCCCAGGCTTATGGCCTTCTCCTCTTCCCGTCTAGCTGCCAAGGAATCAGCTTGTAGGATCTCATCTTTTTCTTCAGGGACAATCTTGTCTCCCTGGCTTTTGCACCAACTCACGTTGGTTGTCTTCATCTGAGTCCAGATGATCTCATTTCTTTCTCTTTTTTAAGCTGTGGAGAAGTTTGTGTGTAGAGAGTATACACAGAACACACGTCCATGTTGAAAAAGTGACCTCAAGTGAACCACAAGATTAGGCCTGGGGACCCTCACGTCCCTTCTGCATGGTGACAGTTGCTATAGGAGGCTGTCTCCTGCCCATTGGTACCTCCTCCTTGGCAGATAGCTACCCCTGGGCCATCCCGCTGTCCTGCCCTGCTCTGAGCCCTCAGCCCCAAGAAATCCTGTCAAAAGGAGGAGCTGGGATTGAAGCACAAGATTGCAGGCGGATAGGGCCCATGGCCTTTTAATAAGTTGGAACTAGAAGGAAAAAAATATCAGTTAGGTTCTGGGTACATCACAGAGACTGGCCTTAGAGCCATTTGCCAGGCCAGCAGACATAAACTGGGTCAGGAGTCAGCAAGGGTCCCAATGGGCTGCAGACAGTGGCTTGATACAGACCCCAGGCAGGTGGCCTCTGTGCTGCCTTGCCGGGCCCCAGCTCCTCCCTGGGTAGTGATGCCTGTTGGTGTCTGCTCCTTGTCTAGCCACAGGATGGAGTCTGCTTTGTCTCAAGGTGACCCCTCTGTCTAGACAGTGCCAGGCACAGTGCAGAAGCTGGACAGAAGTGTAAAAGAACAAAGGTCTTTTCACAGCACCCTGGTGGGCTATCGGTAACAGGAATGGTTATGCCAGGCTGAATTGGTTGTGTCACCTAGGTGTCTGGCGCTCTGGCCCCCTTCCTTGCCTGGACCCCAGCACAGTGGCAGTGTGACTGGCTCTGCCTCCCTGTTTCACATGGCAGCCCATACTCAGTGGTAGGTGTGAAGGCGAGAGCATAAACCAGCAGCAGATTTCAGGACTGGGATGCAGCACAGAGGCTTCTGGAGCAAGTGAGGGTCAGTGAGTCCTGTGGGACCTGTCCCCCAGGTGCACATGACCATGCATGGAGTCCACATGAATTCTGGTAGCCAGCTGACATTGGGTACACTTGTCAGGGGCATGAGGGGGCATCACACAGTGTGCGGGTATAAGCTGAGAGAGGGAAGGAGTCAGTAGAGAGCCCTCTTCCCACCTTAGCTACAGGAGTGATTAGATACAGTCTCCACATCTGATGACAGTTGGGAACTGCCCTTCTGACCCCCAGGCTGAGGGAGAGGGGCAGTGGGGTTGGCTGCAGGCACCTGATTGAGCATGACACCTGGAGTCCTGCCTGTGTGGAGACCCAGGGCTGGGTTAGGTGGAGACAAACCACAGCACAGAGAACAAGTAAACAAGGAGGAGAGAGGCCACTTTAAATAAGGTGGTCAGGAGGGGGGTGAGCCGTGGGCACCAGAGCGCAGGGGTCAGCCAGTGCCAAGGCCCTGGGGCAGATGCGAGTAAGGATTGGTGACCATTGCACAGTGCCTAGCAGAGAGTGTGGCTAGGTCAGGCAAGAACTGGCAGGGAAAGCTGTGGGGTTCAAACCCAGACTGAATGCAGATGTGAGGGGCATAGATGCTGTTAACTGAGAGAGCCAGTGAGACTGAAGAACGTGCAGCTGTAGTTGTGCGAGGCCTCAGCCCCTGATAGCGCAGCTTCCTGTCCCAGCCAAGAGCACCCTCTAGGGCTTAAGGCCCAACCCAGGGTGATGGTGTCACATGGGGCAGGAAGCCCCATGTCTCAGGTGAGCTGTTCCCCAGGCCAGGCCTTACTGCCCTGCCAGGGGGGACATCTTTGGGCTTGGTGATAAGTTAGAAGGCCACATGTAGTTCTAGGAGTGTGGGAGTGCCTGCCTAGCTGGAAGGGATGGACTGAGCAGTGGGAGCCATGGTGGTAACAAGCACCTTGCCCTGTGAAGGGAAATAGGTCTGTGTTTTCTTTGTTACAATTTCTTTTCTCTCTGCCATCAGCTTGCTATAGTGCAATTAGAAATTTTTTTGGTGCTGCATAGTAATGACATTTAGGGAGCTGAACCAGTTACGTAGAATCGGGGCAGGAAAATCTAGTGGGCGATGTCAAGGCAGTACACGGTATCTTTCCTAGAGAGGAGAGCAGAGTGCTTTGGAGGCTCGGCCACTGCTGGGGTGAGTGCTGGGCTTACCTTGACCAGGTGTGCATCACAGGCAGCTCTATGGAGGTGAGAGGAGGGGAGGCCCTGTAGTGACCAACCCTGGCTGGACGCTCTGGAGCTCCTAGTGTTTGGCCTCTTGTCACTTTGGCAGTGGTTGGTACTCCCCAGGGCTGGGCTGGGTAGTAGGTACTAAGGACACATGTGAACCCCAGGCATCGCTAAGGCTCTCTCTGCCATGGTCTCTTCATTTGGAGCTGGGGTAGCCTCAGCACTGACTTGAGAGAGGGTCATGTGAGTGAATGTCTGTTGAGCACTTAGCAGGGTGCCTACGCACTCTGGGTGTGAACGTGGAACCTGCAGCCTGGGCTCTGATTTCACCCTCTGTTATCAGTGAACCTTCCAGACCCTTCTTTGGAGTCCTGGCACTCTTGTGAGCGCCAGCACCTTCCCTGGAATCTAGCCCTGTCTCTGGGAACCAGACTGCTAGCCCAGGGTCCTGTGCTCCCTCAGACCCTGGAAGGTCATGAGCAGCCCTGCTGCTACCTGCCTTGGCCCTGGGTTGTGGGTGTACAGCCTCCGTGAACTTCAGGGCTGACCCCAAAGGTGGACATGCAGTGACCTTGTGACTGCTGGAGACAGCCTGCAGCCATATGGGCTGCCAATGTTCCTGCCCAGGGTTGGCCTACCTGCCACAGGGTTCTTGGAGCAAGTGCCACAGGGACAGTACTATAGCAAGGCCAGCTGGCACTGTAAAAGCTCCACACTTTTCATGCCCACCTAGTGGGCCAGGTGAAGGGTTAACTTGTGCTTGCACCAAGAGAAGCTCAGAACTAGGGTCTGGAATGGTCCCTACCAGCACTCTTTGGGAATCTTCTTTGTTCCTTTGGGTGAATGTGGCCATGCCCTATGGGCACAAGATACATCCATGAACCCCTGGGATACCTGGAGGTCTTTCCTGTCCGGGGGCAGGGTCTGGCATGGCTGCTGTCCTCTCAAGTATCTGTTCAGTGGCTCCTTGCACAGCCCTGACTGAACAAGGGCAGATCCTGAGGTGGACAAGAAAACCTTCCTGTGCAAGGAGTATGAGGCCAGAGGTGAGCCAGTGGAAATGAGGGGCCCATGACAGTCTGCCTTCATTTTTTTAAAAGCAAAGAAATGCCGAAGTAATCTACAGAAAATGTGGTAAATTCAAACCATTTGTGTTAGCAAGTGTATCTTTCCAGCCACATGTGAACAACCAAGCAGCTGGAGAGGTAGGCAGGGCCTGGGCAGCTGTCCCCACCAGCCTGGTTCCCAGGCAGCACCTCCATCTGCTCTCCCTCTGCCTGCTCTCCCTCTCCCCCTCCTGTCTTTCTGCTCATTGGGAAGCTCAGACAAGCCCAGCTGGGTGGCCTGAGGCAGACTGTCTTTTCAGGGTTCTTAGTTGTGATCAAAGTCGAACGCTTGATTCATTCAGACTTTGGGTTGCACACACTGAAACAGCTCTGTTGCCTCAGCTGCAGCATTTGATGTATCCAGGGGAGAGTTCCTGGGGCTTTTCCTGTGGAGTGTGGGATGTTACCTGGAGAACACTTCCTATGGGGTATCACCTGGGAGATGCTTCCTATGAGGCATGGTGTATCACTTGGGAACAATTTTGTGGGGTGTGGGATAGCACCTGGAGAGTACTTCCTGTGGGGTGCCATCTGGGGGCACTTCCTGTGTGTCACCAGAGGAAGTCTGCTGTGATTCCCTGATCCCAGGCCAGGATGTGGTGTTGAATGCAGCTGAGGAATGCTGCACTTGCCTTCTGCTGATGCCATGTGAGGCTGTCCACTGTGCTAAAGACTCAGCCTATGCCTCATTGCTGGGACTCTGTAACTCCCCCTTACCTGTCTCTCAGTTGTTGAGGGTCCTCCCCGCACCAGCCACCTCACCCATCCGTTCCCTTTCAGACATGGTCTTTTCAGGATGGAGGCTCCTCCTGACATGTGACACCTCCCTCCAGAACTGTCATAACCAAGGACCCAGCCCCCAGTGTGATGTGGGCCCTCAGTGGGTCACCTCCGATTGACAGGCTTTCCCTGCCTCTTCCTGCAGAAGGACATGGCCCTGAAACCACATGAACGGAAGGAGAAATGGGAACGTCGCCTCACCAAGAAGCCCCGGGAGTCAGAAAACTGCCCATCTGCAGAGCCGAGTGAAAACAGGCAGCCCCTGGAGGTGGGCAACACTGGGCAGGACTTGGAGTCTGAGTGCGAGGAAGGCACCAGGGTTCCACTACAGCCCTCCAAGCAGGTGAGCTTCCCATCCCTCCCCAACTCGGGAACCGCAGCTGGGTCTGCCCCTGGGCCACACCAGTATCTGGACACCACCCATCGGCATCTGGCCTGCTTGGCAACGTGTCCATCGTTGTTGGGCTTGGGGTATGGGGCACATGCGGATGGGCTCAGGGCTGGCAGGTGGGCTAGGCTGGTTCGCGGAGATGCAGGGACCTACCCAGGCCCGGCTGGAGAGGCCTGCCTGGGCCAGTGCTACCGCCTTTCCCAGGATGGCAGGGGTGTGTGCTGGCCAGGGTGGATGACAGTGCTAAGCTGATAGGCTGGCCCCGTTTCCCGCTGCGTCTGTCAGGTTCCGCCGACTGTAGGTTTCCAGGGGTATCCAGTGTGTCTGTATGAACAAGGGAGCAGGCTCACTGCTGAGTGTTGTCCGCTGTGCCTGTAGCACTCTGCTAAACTGCGGCGTGGGGGAGGGGGCATTCAGCCACAAGACTTGTGGTTGGTGGTCTGGGTGCAAGGAACAACCAGGAAATAGGGCTGCCGCCCCTGCTCCCCAGGGGGCCTTTCTGCCTGAATGGGATCAGGGCCAAGACCAGAACAGGGCTGTCAAGAGCAGGTGAAAGCTGGGCCAGGACTGTCCTGAGTCCCTTCTGTCCTGGGCACAGCACAGTGCTGCGCCTGCATTCTGGAGTCCCCAGGTCTCACCTTCCCTCAGAGGGGCTCCTCTTTGAGTTGCCTTGGGAATCGGGCTCTGCAGAGGGAGCAGCATGTCTCAGGGGCCCGGGCTGGACGGGGGGTCTGCGGCGCCCCTGCCCAGGTGGACACGTGCTCTTTCTTCCATGCAGGTGGGCTCCCCAGAAGGGGGGCCGCTCCCAGCCAGCCCCTGGCACCAGAACGGCCCGGCCCAGCACCAGCAGCAGCTCCAGCCCAGCCAGCCCAGCCAGCCCAGCCAGCCCCAGGGGCCCCTCCCAGCCCCGTGTCAGCGCTGCCAGCCCCGTCGGGCACCCCCGGACCCCGGGCAGCCCTGCCAGCCCCAGCGGCCATCCCCGGGTCAGCACAGCTGGCCCCAGCGGTCACTTCTGGGCCTGAAACAGCCCCGCCAGCCCCGGCGTTCACTCCTGGGCCCCACTCAGCCCCGCCGGCCCCAGCGCCTGCTTCCAGCCCCAGATCAGCTCTGCCAGGCCCAGCGCTCACGCCCGACTCAGCCCTGCAGGCCCCTCTGGGCCCTCCCAGGCCCCAGGCAGCGCAGCCAGCGCCTGCGGTCCCTCCTCGCTCCATGGCACCGCTGCCGCCCACTGCGGTCCCAGCTGACCCCCTGTCACCTATGCCGCCCACTGCAGTCCCTATTGACCCCCTGTCACGTCTGCCGGCCCCTGCTGGCTCTGTGGCACTGCTGCCGGTCACTGAGGTCATGGGCCACACCATGTGTCTGTGGCCGGCCCTGTAGGACTGCCTCAGTTCAGCGCTGCCGGCCCCTGCGTTCCCCACTGGCCCATTGCCAGCAGTGCCAGCCTCCACGGTCACTCCTCACCTTGCGACCACGCCGCCAGCCAGCCAGCTCCCTCACAGGCCAGTGCTGCTGCCCCCAGCGGGCACTCCTAGCCCCTCATCAGCATAGCCAGCCCCGCAGGTCTCTCCTAGGCCAGCCTAGCCGCCCCCAGCAGTCATTGCTGGGCCTCACACAGCCCCAGCAATTAGTTGAAGACCCAGAGAAAACCATCTCTCCTAAACCTTCCCTGCTGGGCCCCAGACAGTCACACCAGCAGAAGCGGCCCCTTCTGGGCTCAGAGCAGCCCCAGCCACCCAAGCGGCCACTCATGGGCCCAGAGAAGCCCAGCCAACCCCTGCGGTCACTTCTGGGCCCAGGCCAGTCCCGAAAGCCCCAACCATTACTTCCCATCCCTGATCGTCCTTCACTTCTGGGGCAGCCAGGTCCATCCCGCCGACCTCTCCTGAGGCCCCTGTGCCAGCCAAGGCGTCAGTCCTTGCTGGATCTGGTGCCAGCCCGTCAGTCCCAGCCTTCGCTCCTGGCCCTGGGCCATCCCTGCCGGCCCCTGAGGTCACGGTGGACTCGATACTCTGCCCCAGGGGTGGCCCGCCAGGCCCCCTCTGTGAGCCCTGGAGCCTGATCCCTGAAGGAACCTCCTTGGATGAATTTGTCAGGCCACCCTGAGCAGGCTGTGTTGTTAGTGGGGCCCCTAGGGCCAAGGTCCCTTATCCCACAGGCCTGAGATGCTTTGCCAGACTGGACTGAGGCCTTCTCCAGACAGGGGCTGGCTGATTGCCATCGGAAAAGGAGGCAGAGCCAGAGGTGGAGCCCCTGCTGTGCTGTTCAGGCTTCAGCCCATCCCACCAGGAGGAGAGGAGACAAACCTGGCATCTTCTGACCACCCCACCATGACCTCCCCTGCTGGTGTCAAGGCCTCCTGGTGTCACGGGGCCCCCACATGTGTGCTGCTTTGTGATATACACCCCCTGGGAGAGGGCACACAGCAAGCCCTTGTCTGTGCCTCTAAATTGCCAACACTGTCTTTGTATCTCTGAGTCTCCATGCACGTGTGCCGGTGTGCGTGGGTGCATGTGTGCCTGTGAGCGGTTGTTCCTGGACGTGTGGGCATGTGTGATGGGGATTGCCAGCCCAGGCCTTACTGTCCTGGGCCCACCCTGTGTGGCCATTGTGCATTCCCTTCCTCCAGGCAGAATAGCTTAAATGAACTAACTGGTCAAGAGGTAGGCTTGGTGGACCAGGTTTCAAGAGTTCCTCCTCTTCTAGTGACCTCCTGAGGGGTCCCCAGCTGTAGGAGGGATGCACAGGGGTGGTATCCAGGGACTGCCACCCTACCTCTCAGGGCTGTGCCTCAGCCCTAGTGGGGACACCAAGATAGCATGTGAGGGTCTTCAGGGCAGCTGGAAAGCCTCTTTGGGCCTTCTCCACCCCCTACCAGAATGACAGCATTCTGTGCTGCTCTTGGCTGCCCCCATTGAGACAGGTCTCATTCAGACAGCAGGGCTATCCTTGGGCCCCATGCCTGCTCATCCCACAGACCATGACCTGTAGTCAAGGTTGCCCACCTCTGCCTCAGACCCAGGTCTCAGGGCAGCCCCACACTTAGGTCTCCTGGAGTCCCTTCGAGAGTGAGCTTAGGGAGGGAGCTGGTGTCCAGAGGAGGGAGGATGCTGGGTTCTGCTGTCTACAGGTCTGAGGGGAGCCCAGAGCCATGCTGGCCACCTAGTCCAACCCTGTTGGGGGTGAAGGGTGGTGCAGAAATCCCCAGGTCATCTGGTGATCCCCAGCCTTTCCCCCTTCCCTTGCTTGAGGACCCCACTGTCCATGCGGTCCATCTTGCCCCGTCCCAGCCCTGTAGCCTAACCACCTCCCCAAGCCAGGGCAGCTCTGAGCCCTGCCCACGTGGGCAGGCCACCTTTCTGGTGCTCACCTACAGCCTCCATCCCGGGAATTTGGGGCTTATTTTTCTGATTAAAGAGAATAAAAGTGCCATACATTATTTTTATAACATTGTTAGTGTTCGTAATTTGAGCAGATGAGCACATCTTCCTTACTCTGAGTGGCTTTACACATCTGTACTTGGCTCTCAATTCATGAATCCTGACCAGAGAAGGACCTGGGGAGCCCATCCTGTTCTACCCTGTCCACCCTGGCTAGAGAGGGGCCATCCTGCCTCTGTCCCCCATGAAGGCTGCTGTTGTGCCCAGGGCGTCTGAGCTACAGAGTGTGGGACTCCTTTGAGGGCAGACCCCAGACCCCTCTGAACCTGCCTTGTGTTTGGCCAGTGGTATGTCACCTTCGGGATGTACCTTAGGGATGCTACATCCCCGTTGGGACACATGGGGGAGCCTAGGATCTGAATCAGCCTGTGACCCCAAACATGCCCCAAGCTGGGCTCTGCATTTGGAGTGTGGAGTGGGTTGGGGGGCAGTTCCTTTTTTGCTGTAGTTACCCTCAAACTTAGTTTGGCAGCAAGTTGCCTACTGCCTCACACCCACACAAGCCCCTCTGACAAGTGCTGGGCAGCTCCCCTGTTTCTGTGCACCTAGTGAGGGTCTGAATTGTCTTTCTTAAGACCTGTATGCTGCCCCTCCCTGAGGGCATGGAAAGGGGCTGAGGCCTCTGTAGCCAGCTGGGTCCTGGTGACCAGGAGCAGGGGTGGACACTGGATACTTACTGAGGAAGCCATGTGGGTCCAGCCATGTGTGAACCTAGAGGGGCTCATGAAGGCTGGCATCAATCCCCAGCATCCATCACCAGCCTTGGGCGCAGGCTACCACCATGGGGAGGGTGAAGCCACCAGGACCCCAAGGGATTGGCCCACACGTACCATGTCCTCAAGGAAATATAAACTCCATGTGGCTGGACCTTTGATGTTTTGTGGGAGGGAGGGTTTTGGGGGGTGGGACTGGGGTGTGAACTTAGGGCTTCACACTTGGCAAAGCAGGTGCTCTACCACTTGAGCCACATCTCCAGTCCATTTTGCTCTGGTCATTTTGGAGATGGGGTCTCAGGAACTATTTGCCCAGGCTAGCTTTGAATCATGATACTCCTGATTTCAGCCTCCCAGGCATTACAGGTGTGAGCTACTGGAGCCCAGCCCTTTGGTGTTTCTGAACAGCTGGAAACCCAGGTTATTCTGTCGATTTGTCAATTTGAAATGTTGGTGGCTTATTCTAGTTTTCATGACCTGCCTTACTGACCAAAGGATGCAGCTATGTGGACTGCTTGGCCCTGGGCTTGGCAGCTAGGGTGCAGGCCCTGAGGTGTGGGCAGGTTTCTTGTTCCTGAGCATTTGGGAGTGTCTCCAGGCTGGGCCTACCCTAAGAGGTGTGCTTGGGTCCTGGTAGCTACAGGGGGCAAGTGGGCACTGCCCAGCCTGAAGTTAGTCATGGAGTATGTGTGGGGTTATCAGTGGGTGTCTGGAGAGCCCACCACTGCCTGAGTGAAGCCCCTCTGGAAGCAGGATATCCGTGTTGCTTCTGGCCTCCTGCCTCACCTGCTCGGAGTCA